CTAAAAATATGTAATAGAAGCATCAGTTAAACATCTCACCTGCTTCCTTTTTTAGTGACTTAAAAAGGTCAAAAGCTACAATTTTAATCTGTTGCAGATCACGTCCAAACATAGTTGGATGGTACAGACACATTTAGTCCTGGGGGATCTGTAGGAGCTTTTTAGACTCTTCCATGCATCATCTCTGTTCTGCTCCTGTGTGGTGTTTTGCACTGATATTGAACCCCAGCAGCATCTCTCCTTGCAGCATTTTGAGCAAGATTTGTCCCTCCTGGATGCTGGAAGTTAAAAATCCCAGGGCTTCTGGCCCCTCATGATGGTACCGGCCATCTCCCATGCCCTTGCTCCTGGCAAAGGCAGATGGATGGCACCTACGTGTCCTGTTTCTGCAGCTCAGCAAGCAGCTGGAGTTCCTTGTGTTGCTTCTGTGTGGATGGGACAATCTCAGCTCTGCTGAGATTGGTGGTGGTGGTCACACAGCTCTCTCCTACCCACCTGTCTGCATGCACCCCCATTCTGTTATACCTGCTGCAAGTGGTTTTATTGGTCAGAGTTGAAAAAAACTCTAGCAAATTAGGGAAGGGATGAGTCAGTGTCTTTCAAACCAAGCATCTATTTTTTTTTCTCCCTGTTTTACTTAGTTTGAGTAAGTACGTTGCAACGTCACACTCTGAGCTCTATTTCCAAGAAGGAGCATCAGTCTTTGGGAACTGAAAGACTGCACAGAGGTCATTGATGTCCCAAATCTCTTTTGGCAAATGGGACTTCAGCTGGGAAGTCCTCCATAGGGCTGCTCTTCCTTCCTTCCTGCTTGCTTGCCTGCCTTCCTGCCTGCCTGCCTTTCTGCCTTCCTGCCTGCTTTCCTGCTTGCCTGCTGCCTGCCTGCCTGCCTGCCTGTCTGCCTATAGACTAAACCACTCAGCTCAGTGTCACCTGCAAATTTACTGAGGATGCACTCGATCCTGATGTCTGTGTCACTGATGAAGATATGAAATAGTAACAGCCCCAGTATGGACCCTTAAGGGATACCACTAGTTGCTGGTTTCCATGTACACACTGAGCCATCATCTGCAACAATTTGGATGTGGCCATCCAGGCAATTCCTTCTCCATCTATAGTCCATCCATCAAATCTATCTCTCCCCAAATAAGCAGCAAGAAATTTGTGGGGAACTGCATGAAACACGTGACAGAAGTCCAGGTAGATGACATCTGTAGGTCTTGCCTTGTTCCCTGATGCAGTCACTCCACTGTAGGAGACCACTAAGTCAGGCATAATTTGCCCTTGGTGAGGCTGTCTCTCATCAGCTCCCTCTCATCCGTATGTTTTGATGTGTCTTCCAGGAAGATCTGCTCCATGATCTTACTGGGCATGGAGGTGAGCCTGACTGGTCAATGGTTCCCAGCTTGGGGCTGGAAGAACCTTTCTAGCCAATCTCCTCCCTGGTGGTTTTTAAAACAGGTTTCATTTTTGTTACTTTAAGGTTATGAAACACTATGGGAAATGTTTCAACCAACTCCGTAGATCCCTAGGAATGATTTCTTATGGTTTGCTCACAGAGACCAGGTACTTCTTGGGACTGCCAGGCCTGTGCTTCCTCTTTGCATTTACCTTTAAAAAGTACCCTACATTTCATAAATTTAATTGCCAAGATAAAAAGGCACACTAGTGGTAAGTGCAAGAGACAGAGGAAAAGTCTTAAGGCAAGGAACATTTCTTTTTTAAAATTTCCTTGGAGGAACTGTGGTCAGGATCTTTAAATTTTTATTGAAAGTGCTAACTTTGCCAAAAAAGATCTTCTTTCCAGCTTTGAAAGGTGACTCAGTTATGAATTAGGTTGAAATGATGCTTTTCTTGATTACGTTGGTTGGTTGTTGTCAGTAAAGAATTGTAGGTGAAGGTTTATTAATCCAAAGAATAAGGGATTGAGGAAGCTTTGATGGCTGAGAACCACATCATATGTGCAAAGTCACCATCATGGCAATGCTCAGACATGCTGTGGTGGATGGGTGTCAGTTACCTGCAGTTGACGCTGAAGGGTGGAGTTCTGGTGCCTGCCCGCGGCTGCTGCCCGCCTGCTGCTGCTGCTCCCCTCCGCCGTGACTGAGAACAGTGAACAGCACTGCCGAGCAGGCCAGAAGCCCCTGTCCTGAGGAACATCCTATGTGGCAGCTCTGGGCACCAGTTCCTTGTGTTTGTCCTCTTCCCTGTTGCTGGGGGGATGCTTTTGGGAACTCATCTGTGGAGGAGGGAAGCACGAGGGAATCGTTTTTCCCTCTTTCCCAAGCAGCTGAGGCTGTGCTAGAGCTGAGTGGTCTTACCAGCCCGGGCTGGGCATTTGCCCTCTGCCAGGCAGATGTCCCGTTTGCTGGTGGCGGAGGGATTGCTGCTGTGCAGTAGAAAGAGCTCCCACTGCTGCCTGCACCCCTGCCTGCAGCCCTGCCTGCACCCCTGCCTCCCCTGTGCTGCCTGGAGGCCCCGTCAGGGCAGGTCACAGCGGCCCCTCGAGCTTCTCAGGGGCATAAGTCTTGACCCCAGACCAAAGCCTCTTTTCCCCTCCCAGTGGGGAATGGACAGTGAAAGTGGCTGTGGGGACATCCCTGCTTCTCTGCTGTGCTCAGTGCCAGCAGGAGCGGAGCAGATGTCCCGGGCTGGCTGTGAGATGCACGGAGCCTGGCCCGTCCTCTTAAACATCATGTCTTGACCCTTAGCACTGCTCGGAGTCATCAGAGTGACTTCAGCCGTAGCAGCAGTGATGTTGTAGTACTTCAGCTTCAGTAACGTTTGCTGAGTGTTACTCACCGTGAACAGTTAAATAGATTTGGGTGAGTCACTTAAACAGACACTATGGATGTGAAAATAATTGTCTGGGAAACCTATGCCTGCCAGGTTGCCAAGTAATCCTCACGCGTCCTGTGACTCAAAGACAGCCAGAATAAGTGTTTTCTCCCTGCTGCTCAGTTGGAAATATATTGAGGGAAGACAGCCTAGCCCCCTGTCCCATATCCCTCCATCCGTCCATGTGGTCTTGTCCCCTTCCTGAGAGGCCAGCACAGGGGCATGGTCACCTGCGCTCACTGCTTGCCATGCGCATCCTCAGTGATAGCATCACCGCAGTGTATACCTCAGCCCAAATTGACAGGGGAAGGGAAAGTATGTAGCAGTGACTTACGTGAAATTGTTTCACAGGATTGAAGGTGGGTATGGGTGGGAAGAGACCTTGGAGGTCCCTGGTCCAGTACACTCCAGCAGGTCCATCAGATCAGGTTGCTCAGGCCTTCACCCAGCCACATGCTGAATATCCCTAAGGATGGACATCCTACCACCTCTCTGGTTCCAGTGTTTTGACCGCCTGCACGATGACAATTTTTTTCCTAATATTTAATCTGAATTTTGCATGTCCCAGCTTGGTCCATTTCTGCTTGTCCTGTCCCTGTGCACCTCCAAGCTTCAGCAAAAACCTGAACCTCCAAGGACCAGCAAGAAGTCTGTCTCCAGCTTCTCTCCACCCTCCTGCTGGGAAGTCATAGGCAGCAGTAGGAACTCCCTTTACTTTCCCCTCCCAGATGAACAAGCCCAGCTCTCAGCCTGTCTCCGTGTTTGTGGCAGGCGGTTGTCCCACAACACTCTAGGTCTTTGTCTGCTTCCCCATCAGCTGGCACCAGCCTTTGTGGGTGCATGAAGTTACTCAGCCCAGTCTGGTTTGTTTCTTTATTCAATACAAGTTCTTTCAAGAATGGGGAAAAAATAATCAGTCGCTTACATGAGAACTCAAACTGAAAATGTTCTCTTCGTTTCCCTGCATTTGTACTTACTCTCTGGCAAATATATAATTGTACCACTTGTGCCAGTGAGGCTGCTGTGTTGGCTTGCTTAGAAGTACCTGGAGCTTGGGTTGAAATTATTCACAGGACTGTTTGTTTTCTTCTTTTCTCAATAGTGCTGAAGCTCTTAGCTCTGAGTCAGAAATGTGTACAACTGTCAATAGGATGTGACCTTCCCCCAGCACATTCCCATCATCATGATTCTCTAATTATGCCTGTGACTGCCAGCTGGGAGGGTGCAGCATCAGAGCTACCACAGCCATTGAAATGACTCGGTTAATGTGCCTAGAGTCCATTAAACAAAGTTTTGTATAATTAAGTAGGTCTTGATCTCATCAAAATCAAGAGGGAGCATTAGGGTGGCAGCATTTCTGAGAAATCATATTTGAATCAGGTGGTTTGTACTTTCTTTAGTATCTGGATCTTGAGATATTGCAATGTTTTGGTCTCACTGCTGAGTTTTGGGATTGGCTGGTCCTGCAGTTGGGGCACACCTGGGCTGCCACAGGCCTATGGGTAAGCTCAGGGCATTGGTACCACCTAGCCCTTTGGCAGGTGTGCAGCATGAAGGGCTGCACAGGCAGAGCACAATTGGCTACCCGTGTGCTATGCTCGGGTGCTGTGTCCCCCATTCCAGCCCTGCTGCTGTTCTCGGAGGGAACAGCAGTTTCTGAAGAATGGGGTGGTGAGGGGCACACATGCAAATCTCATCTCCTTTGAGGACACTCTGGTTTCTAGGAGAGGAACCTCCCAGAGGTCCCTGGAAGGGACCTTCAAAGATCATTTAGTGTCGTTCCCCCCCGTGCCCCGCCGTGGGCAGGGATGCCTTCCACTAGACTGGGTTGCTTGAAACCTCATCCGGGCTGGCCTTGGACATTTCCAGGGATGGGGCATCCGCAGCTTCTCTGGGCAACCTGTCCCACTGCCTCCCCACCCTCTTCGGGAAGAATTTCTTCCCTATGCCCAACCCAACCCCACCCTTGTTCAGTTTAAAGCCGCTGCCCCTTGTCCTGTCACTGCAGGCCCTGGTCAAAAGTCTCTCTCCGTCTTTCCTAAAAGCCCCATTTAAGTACTGAGCGGCCGCAGTAAGGTCTCCCCAGAGCCGTCTCTTCTCCCGGGTGCACAACCCCAACTCTCAGCCTTTCCCCACAGCAGAGGTGTCCCAGCCCTCAGACCATGTCGGTGGCCTCCTCTGGACCCGCTCTACCAGGTCCGTGTCTGTCTTGTGCTGGGGACCCCAGAGCTGGATGCAGGACTCCAGAGGGTCTCAGGAGAGCGGAGTAAAGGGGCAGTATCCCCACCCTCACCACACTGCTGGTGATGCAGCTCAGGAGATGCTTGCCTGACCTGCAGCAGAGTTATTTCCAGGCTCAGGACTGTGAGGAGAGTCCAGAGGGGTGCATGGGGTGGAAGTGCTCCCATTTGGCAGGTGGGAGTGCTTGCAGCTCTGGTCTCTATGTGCTATGGGGCTGGGCAGCAGATTTTAGCAGTGTCTCCAGCACATCTGTGTTTGCTCTTTCTCCCCAGAAACGAAGGAGGAGCTGGAAGACTTGATGTCTGACATAAAGAAGACCGCGAACAAAGTGCGCTCCAAGCTAAAGAGTGAGTATTTGCCTGCGATGCTGCTGTGGGTCTCTTCCTGCTACACTCCTGCCCTGCATTCCCAGGTAGTGGGTACCACAGCTCCCCTCCTGGGCTGGGGACCAGCAGGCAGGGAGCATTGCTACCCTGGATCCTGCTCCATGTCCCCATTGCTCAGCACTTCCCATTTATGACCAGAAATGCTGTGGGGCCCTGGTTGTCATCTCTACCCTGTACCAGCAGCAGCTGATGTTTGACTCGGTTCAAGACAGTTTTAGGGTGGTTTGCTCTAGGTATGAAATGGCAGGTTACAGATGCACAACCTGGCACTGTCTCTGCATCCTCTAGCACCCTGAGCTGGTGCTGGCAGGAGTTGTAGAGCTGGGGGAAAGGACAGCCAGAAGTGGCATCTGTCACTGCTTTGCAGGGATCACCCAGGGATGGATGTTGCATTCTCTCACCCTAGTGTCCTCTAGCTTCTTTTATTTGCTCTTTGTGAGTTTGCCCTCTTGTGCCTCGTTCCCAGGATGGAGGTGTAAGTCCCATGCTGCCAGCACTGGCAGGCATTGGGCTCCCCTGGTGAGCTCTGGGCAAACCCATGGTATGGCCAAAGGGTTGCCAGGGCTGGGTGGTTGAAGAGGAGCTGTGGGACTTGCAAGCCTCCAAGAAGAGCTGGCTCTTCTCTGGTGAGCCAGGTTGGCATGGGCAGCCTATGCAGGTGAAGCACTGAGGGGTCCTATCCAGAGATCTATGGTCCCTCTTCCCCATGCAGCTCCAGCTGGATTGGATGGTACTGCCAGCTCTCCAGCAGTGTGCTTCTCGCTGTCCCCATCTTGCTCCTGCTGGGCTGGTCTTGCTTTTCCATCCCCAGTGCAGGCTGCATTGCTGGTGGCTCTGCCCAAGGCAGCAGTGCCTCCTGCCCCCAGACATGGGCTCTGTGGGTCAGGTGGTAGGGAAGACAGGGGCCTTTGGGCTTGGGGAAGGTATCCTGTCTCATCAGTAAGCCCTGTTATCTTGGCATGCCTCTGCCTTGGGCAGTGCAGGGACAGAGTATGGCCAACATGGCAAGTTGGAGTGAGAGCATGACTGACAGCCTGCTGATGGCCAGGGTTGGGCTGGAGCACTTGGATGAGCCCAAAAGCCCAAGACTGGATAGATTCAGGGGGTCAGTGAGGTCAGCAGCATATTGAGACAGAAGGTCAACCTGGCACAGCTTGGATTTGCCTGCAGTGGTCTTGTACGTCAGTGTGGGATCTGAGATTGCTGCAGAAGACCTGGCCGTGTCTGAAGGATGGGAGAGGAGCTGGTGCTTCCCCCATGGCAGCAGCATTCTCTTTAATCCTAGGGTTCCATGGGATCCCCATGGATACAGCTGGAGCCGTTATTAGGTTCATCACCACTGCCATGGCCATGTCCCAGATGTATGTCAGAAGGAGACTTGTACCTCCCTTGTCCCTTTGCTGCTGTCTCTCTTCCTGACACGTGATCTCAGCTAGACCCAGGACAGAGAGATTAACCATTCATAGGACAGGGGATCCCTTCCCATGAGCCAGAGCCCTGCCCCCCACCATATTGGGATTCCTGGTATCCAGCTGGTGACAGAGTTCAGCCTATGCAAAACAAAAATGATTTTCCATAGATGTTTTGTTCTGTGTTTTTTAAGGGGCTTTGTGAGCAGGAAGGATTGCAGGACAAGCTCTCAGTCCTGTTACCTTTTTCCAGAAAAGACTCACTGGTATTGTATTTACCTGGAGCAACACATGATTAGTCCCTGTGCTTTGTCCCAAACCGCCTCATGGCCAGCATGATCAATGAAAGAAGAGAGTCAGGACTGATCAAAAACACCATCTGCTTACGACGAGTTGACTTCTTTAGGACAGACATTGCTCATGCTGTGGCTAATTCTAATTACCAGATTCTTGTGAAAATGTGATTTTATTAATTATCATAAATGCACAATGTTTGCCAATACTGTTCCTTGAGAACAGGGAATGGTTTATGACAAGTGTGGAGGAAGACCAATTGCTGATGAAATATGCTGGGCAGGCAGCAGCCAGCATGCTTGCGGATGGGGAGCACAGAAGTGCTGCGTGCGTCTGGCTGTGTGGGACGGGACCTTTCCGATAAACTCTAGATACAGATGCTTGTTCCAGGAGGGAATAGGAGGGAGTGCAGAATTTGTGCTGACGTTCTCCAGCACCTTTCCGGAGCATGCTGTGCTTTGGACACCCTCTGCCAGCACCGCAAAGGGTTCCCCAGGCCCACAGTCTTCCTTACAGCACTGCTGGTCTCTGCAGGGTGGTACTGTGGGTACCACCCTTCCACTGGGTTAGCACCCTACCACTGTAGGGTTAGGGTTAGGGTCGTTAGGGTTAGAGGTAGGGTTACGGTTAGTCATTAGGGTTTGTGTTAAGGTTTAGGGTTAGGGTCCTTAGGGTTAGGGGTTAGAGTTAGAATTACCCTAGTCCTAGGGTTAGGGGTTAGAGTTAGAATTAGGGTCATTAGGGTTAGGGATTAGGGTTAGGCTTAGGGTTAGTTAGTCATTAGGGTTACGGTTAGGGTTGGGGTTAACTTCCTTAGGATTAGGGTCATTAGGGTTAGAGGTTAGGGTTAGGATTAGTTAGGTAGTTAACCACTAACCCAAGGTGGTACTGTGGGTACCTGTGCCATTAGGGTTAGGGTTAGGATTAGTCATTAGGGTTAGGGTTAGGATTAACAATTAGGGTTAGGTTTAGGGTTAGGGTTACGGTTGTGGGGTTATGGTTTGGCTTAGGGGTTAGGGTTAGGTTTAGGGCTAGGGTTAGCTACTAAGTTAACCACTAAACCAAACTGCTACTGTTGGTACCTGTGCCATTAGGATTAGGGTTAGCGTTAGTCATTAGGGTTAGGGTTAGTTAGTCATCAGGTTTAGAATTAGGGTTAAGGTTGGGATTAGGGTTAGGGTTAGAGTTAGTTAGTCAGTAGGGTTAGGGTTAGTCATTAGGGCTAGGGTTAGGGTTAGCGGTTAGGGTTAGGTGTTAGGGTTAGGGGTGTGTGGTTAGCGTTAGGTTTAGGGGTTAGTTAGTTAGTTAACCACTAAACCAAGTTGGTTCTGTTGGTGCCTATGCCATTAGGGTTAGGGTTAGGGTGAGTTAGTCATTAGGGTTAGCGGTTAGGGTTAGGGTTAATCATTAGGGCTAGGGTTAGGGTTAGTTAGGTAGTTACACCAACCCAAAGTGGTACTGTGGGTAACTGTGCCATTAGGGTTAGGGTTAGCGGTTACGGTTAGTCATTAGGGCTGTGGTTAGGGTTAGAGTTAGGGATTAGGGTTAGTGTTAGATAGTTAACACTAAACCAAGTTGGTATTGTTCGTACCTGTGCCATTAGGGTTAGGGTTAGTTAGTTAGTTAACACCTAACCAAGTTGGTACTGTGCGTATCTGTGCAGTTAGGGTTAGGGTTAGTCATTAGAGTTAGGGTTAGATTTAGGGTTAGGGGTTAGGGTTAGGGTTAGTTAGGTAGTTTACACTGACTCAGTGTGGTACTGTGGGTACCTGTGCCATTAGTGTTAGGGTTTGGGGTTAGTTGGTCGTTAGGGTTAAGGTTAGGATTGTGGTTATTTAGGTAGTTAACCACTAAACCAAGTTGGTACTGTGGGTACCTGTGCCATTAGGGTTAGGGTTAGTCATTAGGGTTAGGGTTAGTCACATAGGGTTAAGTTTAGGGTTAGCTAGTCTTTAGGGTTAGCGTTAGGGTTTAGGGTTAGTGTTAGGTGTTAGGGTTAGTTTGGTAGTTAACCACTAACTCAAGGTGGAACTGTGGGTACCTGTGCTGTTAGGGTTAGTCGTTAGGGTTAGGGTTAGCAGTTAGGGGTTAGGTTTAGTCATTAGAGCTAGGGTTAGGGTTAGGTGTTAGGGTTAGGTGTTAGGGTTAGGGTTAATCGTTAAGGTTAGGGTTAGTCATTAGGGTTAGGGGTAGAGTTAGCCATTAGGGTTAGGATTGGGGTTAGCGGTTAGGGTTAGTTAGTCATTAGTACTAGGGTTAGGTTCGGGGTTAGGTGTTAGTTTTAGGGTTAGGGGTTATGGTTAGGGTTACTTAGTCATTAAGGTTAGGGTTAGGGGTTAGTTGTTAGGGTTAAGTTTTGGGTTAGTCGTTAGGGTTAGGGTTTCTTTGGGGTTAGGGGTTGGGGTTCGGGGTTAGGGTTAGGTGTTAGGGTTAGTTAGTTAGTCATCCACTAACCCAAGGTAGTACTGTCAGTTCCTGTGCCATTAGGTTTAGGGTTACAGGTTAAGGTTAGTTAGTTAGTTAACCACTAACCCAAGGTGGTACTGTGGGTACCTGTGCTAACCTGCACACAGGAGGAACACAGAGTTCCACCATGGTGGTGGTGTCCTGCGCTCTTCACTGATAGAGAGCCACTGGACAGCTCCAGGGAAAGGGAAGCCCTTGCTGCAGGAGGAACCTGCTCCATGCTGGGCTCATAGGACCTGCTTTAGTATGGAAGGTACTGGGGAGAGCCAGGCTTGGAGAGCTGTGGAACATCTGCATTGGGAATGGGGTCTTCTGCCAAAGTCAAGGGTTGCCACCAGGTTGCATCTGGTGGTCTACATTCAGACATGTATCTCTGCACACTGAACCAGCCTGCTGATAGGAGCTTTCCAGGCTTTTTAAGTCCCTGAATTTAAGTTTTTCAATTAGAATATCCTGAGGTGGCCTTTAGGTCAGATATGCACTGCCTTGCTCTGTGCCAACCCTCCTGCCCTGCAACCCCATGCCCTCTCCTTGCCCAAACGACAGTGGAATGCTGAGCAGAGCAGAGTTCCACCTTGCTGTGATTTATGGTGTTTGGGCAAGGGAGGATTTCATCTCTCTTAGTTGCACTGGGCTTAATTAAAAGGACAAATCTTTGCTGGAGAGGGCTGTTCAGCAAGTTGAAGCATGCTCTCACTAGCCTGGTGAGTCCTCCCTGTACAGGGCCAGGCAGCTGGCAGACCTACTATTTTTAGAGTCCCTGGAGATGTCTTGAGCTTTGGTATTTTGCAGAGACATTTTAGCTGCCTACCAAGGGGAGAACAGCGCTCTGTTTTGTTTGAATACCAGAAAGTGTGGAGATCAGACCTGAGCATTACATCAGTTTTGTATTGAAACCCTCACTTAACACCCTGGCAGTGGTGGATGCTGCCCTCGACAGCATCAAGTCTTGGCTGGTGGCCAGACACTGAGTGCTTTGCAGTAATGAAACAAGGCTTTGCTGCAAGTCCAGGCTAAATCGCAGGCTTGAGTCAGGAGCTGGGGACTGCTTAGTGCCAGCTGCTCCTCGATTCGCAAGCTTCAATCTTTTACAGTCATTTGCCAAACAATGACTTTTCCTTCTCTAAACAGCATGAAATAATCTATGTCTTTCTACCCTGACCAGGTATTGAGCAGAGTATTGAACAAGAGGAAGGACTGAACAGGTCATCTGCTGACCTGCGGATAAGGAAAACTCAGGTGAGTCTCTGTTCTGTGGCACTGGGAAAGGGAGGACAGGAAGCGGCTGGAGGCTGTTGAGGGATCACAGGAGGTGATGGTAGAGGAGGGCTGTGCTTGGCTTTAGAGCACACACTGGACAAAATAGCACAGCACATTTCTGAACAGATCAGTGAAAAAGTCAGCCTGAAAGATCTATGACAGAAGTACGTGCAGAGTGAGTCATGGAGGGGAGGGCACCGTTGCGCTGGCTTCGTCCCTGTGTGCAAGTCTGGTCATCTGCATGGATGAACAGGCACGTGGGTTTCTGGACTGTTTGCTCTACTCTGCAGTGTTCATTTGCTTGGTCTGTCTACAGAGGTCTCATTGCCTTGGGAAATGGCACAAACACTTCTTTATCCTCTCACTTTGACCTGCAGAAGCAGTGAGTCTGGGGACCACTGCTCATGAGCAGGCAGCATGCCTTGTGTCTCCTGTAGGGAGAGGTAGGGAAGAGTTAGTAGCCCATTGAATGGAAGTGCATGCATGGAAGCAGCAGAGACTATGGCAAAAGAAGGGATACAGGACTGGCATGGGTCGATGACACCTAACCCAAAAGGTCGTAGAAATGCCAGCATGGATATATGCAGCTTCTAAGAAGGCTTGGGGTGGAAAATCATTGGGCAGCTTACTCCAGGACAGGAGATATGGGGACCTCTAAAGGTCCCATACGGTTTAAATAATTTCATAACTGTAAATGAGCTGTGCTGCCTAATGGCCCTGAGGCAGGACACAACAATGGATTGGAAGGTCAGTGTTGCTGGCAGCTCCTGGTGAGCACAGAAGGTGCTTCCCAAACCCCTCTGTGGCCACCAGGAGATGAGGGAGGCTTGTAGGATGTGTGACGTACAAGCACTGCTGGCCATTTGGCTTGTGGTGCACGTGAGTATGGGGCACGAAAAGAGTGAATCCAGGAAGGAGTGAAGTCAGCTTTATTTTATATTTATTTTATTGAATAAATCACCTTCCTGTTCAGTGCAGTCCATGCTGAGCTCTACCAGCTAAACTGCAGCACTCTGGTGCTGAGCTGCTTTGGTTCATGACTTTATTTATAGCAGCCTTGCCTGTCCTGGCTCAGCCATGGGCTTGTGTGGTGAGAGCTCAGCTAGGCTAAGGGACATTTTTCCAGTGGGGAGTCACACTGTGATGGCAAGGCAGACCATCTGCTTTGCAAGAGGCTGTGTTGAGGGCATGCACGTTGGGTCCAGGGCACCCACAGGATGGCTGCATGGTTGGTGCAGCGCTATGAGCCTGTCATGGGTGTCTTGTCACCGCAGCTTCTTAAAAATCAGCCTTCTCTGGGCTGAAGCTTTGTCTTCTGCCCCACCATGCAGGGTTGCTGTGTAGTTTTTACTGTGGGTTGGACAGCCTTCTGGTGATCTTTTGATAACAGAGAACCCGGCAAGATGCAGTCATAGTTCCAGCAGTGGAATCTGCCTCTGTGTTGCTGCAGGGCGAGCTACAGTGCTTTATCCTCACTGCTCGTACTGGAGGATATGGATGAAAATGAGGCATCTGGGAGCAGAGAAACAAAGTCTTGTTCTGCAGGGAAGATTGTCTTTTATCAAATCATTAAACTAATAAAAGCTGCCAGCGTTGCTGTTCAGCACCCAGGATTGAGGCATGGATCTGCTGTTCTTGCAGGGGGTTTACGCACAAATGCAGCTCAGTACAAAACCTTTCTCTAAGTGCTCTGCAGTGAAGCCAGAGGAGTTTTGGTGTTTATAGCTTATCTCCTTTTCAGTCTGGGCAACCACTCACGTAGTCTGCTCTCCCATGCTGCAGTCGATGCCGGATCGGTACAGCGGTGATGTTAACTGATCACCTCTGCAGCGGCAGCTTCCAGCTCGAGCCTGAGTCCTGGCCCTGCACAAGCGGCAAGAGGCTGTTGCAGATGAGACTGAGGCAGTGGGGGAAGAGTCCTCTGCAAAACTGGGGCAAGAGAGAGGCTTGTCTCTAGAACAGGTGTGAAGGAGAATTGCTGGGGCATAGCGAAGCCAAAACAAAGGATGGTGTAACAGCACACGGCAAAGCAGGACAGGAGCAAGTCCCACTTGATGCATGCCCCCTCTCCTATCTCTTCATGGAAGGATCCTGACATGGGCAGGGCTCTGCTGTAGCTGGGCAGTGTTGGGGAGAGTCAGCACATGTCTTCCCAGAAAAAAACTCCATCTTTACCACTCCAGAGGCACTGCTGTGTGCTGACAGTAGTGCTGTGGAACCCCCACTGGGCTTTCCGGTCTGCTGTGCCCTTCAGGAGCTGTTTGCCATGTCAAATGCAGGTGCTGGGTGGCAGTGGCAGGGAGGGGAAGAGCAGGGAGGTGGGTGTCCCTGGTGTTGGCTGTGGTGTGCCCATGTTTCCTAGGCAAGGGCATTACTTCCGCAGTGTCTGAGGAAACTAGAGGTGGCCACAGGTTGGTGCTGTGCAGCCCAGGGCTGTGAATTTGAGCAGGGTTTAGAATTTGCTCCACACTGAATCTCTGTGGTTCAGACACCATCCTGGCATGTGGGAGAGTGGGATTCAGGGATCTGCTCCACCATAGAGTCATGGCATGCTTTGGATTGGAAGGGACCTGCTAAGGTCATCCAGTCCAACCCCCCCTGCCTGATCTTCCTCTAGATCAGGTCACTCAGAGCCCCATCCAACCTGACCTTGAACACTTCCAGGCATGGGGCATCCATAGCTTCTCTGGGCAGCCTGTGCCAGTGGCTCACCAACCTCATCATAAAATGTTTCTTCCCTATGTCCACCTTAAATCTACCCTCCATTGGTTTAAAACTGCTGCCTCTTGTCCGTCACTCCCGGCCCTGGTCAAAAGTCTATCCATCTGTCTTATAAGCTGCCTTTATATATTGAACAACTGCAGTAAGGTCTCCCTGGAGCCATCTCTTCTCCAGGCTGCACAACCCCGACTCTCTCAGCCATGGACCAGTCAGTCAAGGAAGTGGGAGATTTTCTTGTAATTTGGGCATTTCTTACCATTTCTTTAGTCTCTGCAGGTAATCAGGGGAGAGAACCTCCTCAGAGCTGCAGTTTGGAGCCCCTGTGTTGGGAGGCTGAGGCAGGTGATGCAGCAATCTGCTCCACTTCAGGGCTTTTGCTTCAGACCTGGGTGCTGTCTGACTCTGGGCTCCTGCAGCTTTCATCTTCCCAGGGATGCTGGCCCCACGCTGGGACCCCGTGCCCAGCAGCACGCGTGCCCAGTGTGCACACTCGTGCGCAGGATGGAAGGTGAGCTGGGCACAGAGCAGTGTTGTCCCAGGGTTGCTTTGCTTGTCATTGCGTGCTGTGGGTAAGAGGAGCTGACGGGAGCTAGCAGGGCTGGCAAGCAGTGCTGCCAGGTTGTGTGTGCCTGACGGGTGAGCTGTACCAATGAGGCTGTTGTAGCTGTCACCCAGGGAACAGTGTGGGGTGAGCTTGCGTTAAGGCCGTTTTCTGGCTGGTACGTACCTTTAGTGTGAAACCGTCCCTGGACCTTGCTTGATTTGGTTTTGCCCTGGTACCCAGTGCACTGCTGAAGCCATTTGGAATTTTTGGTGCCATGGGCCAGTTCCTCAGCAAGGGCACTGCATTGCAATGGAGCTATTGCAGCTGGTGTTGGTTGTATTTGTAGCATGTGTGTCCCCCTTGGACTCCCAGCCATCCCGGGACAAACAACTAGAAATCTGACACCCATGTTTGTTCCTTGTCATGGCGTCACAGCACATTGGTGAGAAGGGAGCTCACGAGATCTCAGTGCCTGCCCGAGAGCAGTGCCAGCTGCATCAGGCTGCTCATGGCCTTGTCCAGCTGCATGCTCAGTATCTAGAAGGATAGAGATGCCATAGACATCTGTCCATGGGTCCTCTGGGCCCCGGTCCAGTGTTGGACCATCCTTATGATGATTTTTTCCCCCATTAATATTTAACTAGAATTCCTGTGTCCCAGCTTGGTCTGTTGTCTCTTATCCCTGTTCACCTCCAAGAAGAGTCTGGCCCCAGCTTTTCTCCATTATCCCACTGGGTCATTGCAGGTTGCAATAAGATCCCCGTAAGTTTTGTCACCTTCAGCTGGCCAAACCCTGCCTGTCCTCATTTGTCCTGTGCTCCATCCCAGACCACCTTGTGGGAGGTCTCAGCTGGCTTCACTCCCACACCATGTGTTTTGTGGAGCAGAACACAGCACTTCACTTGTGGTCTCACAAGCACCAGGTGTAAGTGTCCTCGCCCCACTGACTGTCCTGCTCACTCAGCCCATGATGAATTTTACATTCACTGCTGACTCCTGGGCAGCCTGATGTCTATGGGGACTCCAGCAACTCTAGGTGCTTTCTGGCCAGCTGACCCCCAGCCCGTCCTGTGACATGTGTCCTGTCCCCAGCGCAGGACACTGCATTTGCCTTTGAGTTTCAGAGGGTTCCTGTCAGCCTGTCTCTCCAGACTGTTGAGGTCCCTCTGAACACCAGCCCTGTCTTCTGCTCTCCCCAGTTTGGGGTCTTCTGCAAACCTTCTGAGAGTGCACTCCACTCCACCATCCCAGGTTACTTGTGAAGATGTTCAATGGTATTTTCAGACCCAGCATCACTCACTGAGGGGTTACCATTAGGAACTGGCCGCTGGTTGGACTTATATCAATGATCACAGCTTGGCAGCCCAGACAATTTTCCAGACAACTTACCTAACCTGTGTCCTATCAAAATGGCTGTAAGGATACTGTGGGAGTCTCTGTCAAATATCTTAAACTCAGTGTGTGCTCCATTCGCTGCCCGTCTCTTATCTGCACAGCTGGTCATCTCATTGGAGAAGGTCATCAGGATGGCACAGCACAATTTGCCCCCAGTAAATCCACACTGGATGTTTCCAATTACCTTCTTGTCCTTCTGGGCAGATTTACTCAATGACCTTCATGGTGGCTGAGGGTAGGCTAAGGGGTTTCCCAGATCCTCTTCCCAGAAGATGTGTAGCATTTACCTTTTTTTGCCAGTCCTCTGGAACTACCCATG